CCGGGAATTGAACTCAGGACCTCTGGAAGAACAGTCAGTGCTCTTAACCTCTGAGCCATCTCTCCAGCCCCCTGTGTTGTTCATTTTATGGTCATTAAATTTATTTTGTTTCTCTGAAAAATGGTTGATGACCTTTTTTTGTTTTTGTTTTTTTTTTGTTTTTGTTTTTTTTTTTTTCGAGACAGGGTTTCTATGTGGCTTTGGAGGCTGTCCTGGAACTCGCTCTGTAGACCAGGCTGGCCTCGAACTCACAGAGATCCGCCTGCCTCTGCCTCCCGAGTGCTGGGATTAAAGGCGTGCGCCACCAACGTCCGGCTTGATGACCTTTTTTTGTTTTCAGAAAATTTACTATATTATGTTATAGGTTCTGTGAGTTATTATGGTTGGGAAGTGTCTGTTGAGACACAGCTCTAATTTTCTCTTACTGATTTTAGAGGCTTGCTTCTTCTCATTTCTTGATATATCTGTGTTTTCCATGCTAACTTCATATTTGGGTTTTTCTGCACAAGTAATCGATATGGCTAATATATTCTTTTTGTGTTTTTAAAACTTCTATATCATTGTCTCTGTCAGCTTCAGTTGTCAATATAATGTAGACCAGAATAATCTGAGAAACATTAATTGAGGCTTGCCCAGATCAGAATCACTAGTTACTTTGTTTGTGAGTAATCATCTTGATTGTGATTGATGTGGGAAGACTCTTCCACTGTGTTGGCAAAACCCTAAGCATGTGGGCTCGAGATGGAAAAGAGAGATATCTGAGCACAAGACAGAAAGCCAGTAAATAAAGTTTCCCTGTGCCTTTTGTCTTCAGTTTCTTGCTTGGGTTTCTATCCTAAGCTCCCACAATTGTGGGTTGTCATCTGGCAACATCAGCCTAATAAACTGAGATGCTTTTTTTTTTTTTTTTTTTTTTTTTTGGTTTTTCGAGACAGGGTTTCTCTGTGGCTTTGGAGGCTGTCCTGGAACTCGCTCGGTAGTCCAGGCTGGTCTTGAACTGAGATGCTTTTGATTAGAGAATTTAATCACAGCAAGAAACAGGAGATTCCTCAAAATGTGGTACACCAAAAAGGAATTTTGTTGCTGTGTAGAATGTGAGAATGTTGTCTTTTGGAGGAATGTGGAAGATATTAGTACTTTAGATGGCAAAAGTCATACAAAGCTGTTCACAGAGCTTAATCAGCTGTTCTTGTAGGACTAGGAATAAGGGAGTGGTGGAAGAAATGCAGACAGAGAAGCTTGAGGTCACAGGATTTCAGTGGGAAAAAGACTCCATTAAAGTTTAGATAGAGCTGGGCGGTGGTGGTGCACACCTTTTATCCCAGAGGCAGGCGGATCTCTGTGAGTTCGAGGCCAGACTGGTCTACAGAGCAAGTTTCAGGACAGCCTCCAAAATAATAGAGAAACCCTGTCTTAAAAAACCGAAAAAAAACAAAGTTTAGTTAGAGGTCATTTGCATACTGTGCTTTTCCCAAATCATTCTTTTTTATTATTATATTTCCCTTATTTTTATTCCTTTTTTTTTTTTTAGAAAAAAGCTTGCTTCACATGTCAATCCCAGTCCCTCCCCTCCTCTCACACCCTCCACCATCCCCCACAGCTTCCCACCCTCTCCTCACTCCCTCCCACATAGGGGATCTCCAGAGGCTGCCATTTCATTCAGGGTATGGTCCAGGCCCTCCCCCAGGAGTCCAGGCTGAGAGAGCATCACTCTTTGTGTTATGGACACACAAAGTCCATTTGTATTCCAGGGATAAATATTGATCTCCTGCTCAGGGCATCATAGGTTTCCCAGGTCTCTTCACTAGATTCAGGGTGTCTGGATCAGTTCCATGTTGGCCTCACAGCTGTCAGTCTGGCGTCCAAGGGCTCCCCAATGTTCATGTCAGATGTCTCTGCTGTTTTCGCCAGCCCATTCTTTACCCATTTGCTCATCACTCCTACTTCTTTGTCTCTGGGTTCCAGGAGTTCATTTCAATATTTAGCTGTGGTTGTCTGCCTCTGCTTCCATCAGTCACTGGATGTAGGTTCTAGGATGTCATAGGTAGTCATCAAGCTCATTATCAGGGATGGACATTTAAGGTAGCCTCTCCAGTATTGCTTAGTTTGCCAGTTGGTGACATCCTTGTAGATCACTAGAGCATGGGCTATCTTCCCATTTTCTGGGAAGTCTTCAAAGACTCAAAGTTCTTGTAATACAGTTCTTTCACTTGTTTGCTTAGTATTACCCCAAGACATTTTATGTTGTTTGTGACTATTGTAAAGGGTGATGTTTCTCTTATTTCTTTCTCAGCGTATTTAACTTCTGTATATAGTAGGAAAACTTTTTTTTTTAGTTAATCTTGTATCCTGCCACTTCGCTGAAGGAGTTCCTCGGTAGAGTTTTTTGGGTCACTTATGTAAACTATCATATCATCTGTAAATAGTGAAGATTTGACTTCTTTTTTCAATTTTACCCTCTTCATCTCCATATGTTGTCGAATTGCTCTAGCTAGAACTCAAGTACAACACTTGAGTGTATGGAGAGGGTGCACAGTCTTGTCTTGTTCCTGATTTTAGAGGAAACTGGTTGAGTTTTTCTCCATTAAGTTTGATTGTCTGTCTGCTGTATATTGATTTTATTATGTTCAGGTATGGTACTGCTATTCTGTATCTCTCCAAGACATTTATCACAAAGGCATTTTAGATTTTGTCAAAGACTTTTTCTGCATCTACAGAGATAATCATGTAAATTTTCTTTCTCAGTTTGTCTATATGGTAGATTACATTGATGGACTTTCTATTGTTGATCCATCCCTGCATTCCTGCGATGAAGCCTACTTGATCATGGTGGATAATTTCGCTTATGCTTTCTTGGACTCTATTTGCCAGTATTTTATTGAGTATTTTTTCATCAATGTTCATGAGGACTACATGAGTTTGTCTTGAGTGTTTAAAAAAGACTATACATTTAAACTGTGTAGGGGTTTTTGCCAACTTGCATGATTATTGAGGTGACTAAATATGTTGTCTTCATAGATGACCCTTTGCCTATAGTGACCTAGGTCAGCATCTATTTGACTAAATGAAAAACTCCCAGATAGGATGATGTATTCGCACATGTGTCTCTACTTGGCTGCTTTCTTAGGGGTGCTGGTAGAACCTTGTTAGGAGGAACCTTTTCGGATGAAATTCTTTATTAGGGATAGGATTTGTGTGTCCATAATGTCAAGTCATTTCCTATTTTGTTTATACTGCATTGTGGTTTACATTAATCAGACATATGCCTGTCATGACTTTGCCACCATGATAGATAGCATCACAAAATCACCTTAGTTAGATACAAGTGAGGCAATTGTTATTCAATGATAAGACATTTTGCTTGTGCATTTTTTAAAATTTGGCTGGTATTAATTTTGTTTCTGAACAGAAGCATTTTCTGAATAACCCCAAAACACTCTTTATAGACCAAGCAGACCTTGAATTCAGTGATGCATGTGACTTTCTGTACCAAGTGTTGGGGTTCATGGTAGGCCAATGTTTTTGTGAGTGTTTATCCTTATTAGTGGGTGATGGGTCTATAGAGCAAGTTTTTGTACACCTCAGGCATATGTTGTTTTGCTGAGCTTCACCCACACTGTGAATTTTTAAATTTGGCAAAGGATGTCATTCTGTGTTCCTGCCCAGCAGTATTTATGACATTAATGCTGCCTGAGTCTTCTGAGTCACTGGATTACAGGTGTGTGACATTCTTCCTGCTTGTCATGTTTATGTGTATCTTTTACATGAATATGATTCTTTGGGTACATACATTGATGTGTATAACATGTGTGCCTGGTCCACACAGTAGTCAAAAGATGATCTTGCAATGCCTGATTTTGTTATAATGGATAACTGTGGTTCCTGATGTAAGTCTTGGCATTTGACCTCACCTATACACAAGTGCAGCAACACCTAACTTCTGTGGCATCTCTCCTGCTTTATGTTGATTATTTATGATAAACATTTACATTGCTAATGTCTTCATCACTCTATGTTTAAATATTTGAATGCATAGTTCCTTTTAGTAAGATTTTTTTTTTTTTTTGGTTTTTCGAGACCGGGTTTCTCTGTGGCTTTGGAGGCTGTCCTGGAACTCCCTTGGTAGTCCAGGCTGGTCTCGAACTCACAGAGATCTGAATGCCTCTGCCTCCCAAGTGCTGGAATTAAAGGCGTGCGCTACCAACACCCGGCTTAGTAAGATTTCTTATAATTATAATTTAAGCTAGAGCACTTCACGTTTCTTGAAGATGAATAGAAAACAGTAGTGAATGCATAACTTCTTACAGGAACTTCAGAAAAAAATACACCTCTCAGGTCTTCCTATCTTTATTGTTTATTTCATTGATTTTTACATGGGAGCCAGGTTCTTAATATTTACCACTTGCTGTCCTGTAACTGATTGAGTAGACTAGACTAGCATTCACCTTAGGCAGATACACCTATGTCTTTCCTTCTGTGTGTTGGGACTGAAGGCATGAGTCAATATACCCAGCTTGCCCAACTTTTTTTTTTTTTTGGTTTTTCGATACAGGGTTTTTCTGTGGCTTTGGAGGCTGTCCTGGAACTCGCTTGGTAGTCCAGGCTGGTCTCGAACTCACAGAGATCAGCCTGCCTTTGCCTCCCGAGTGCTGGGATTAAAGGCGTGCACCACCAACGCCCGTCTGTTTGCTCAACATTTTATAGTAATTATTCACACAATTTCTCTGATGTAGACTCAGTCTGTTGATTTGTTTCCTTGTCTCTCTGTGTCTTTTAATAGGCATTTCTGTTGCAATGTAATATCCCGTTCAGAGCATTCAGAAATGATAGAGGTAAAAGCCCATCAGGCTCCTTCTAGAGTGACTTAAGTTTAAATAGAATACCCGTGTCATAGAGTAAGTATGGGAAAGTGCGTCATTATATGCATATATTGTCTATGAAGTATACATTTACAGTGCTGTCTTTATCATGCTATTTTATATATGTATGGCATATTGTAGGGTGCTGTAACCTATCAAGATTTGCATATCAACTTCACTCAGGAAGAGTGGGCTTTGCTGGATCCTTCACAGAAGAACCTCTACAAAGATGTGATGCTAGAGACCTATATGAACCTCCATGTGATAGGTAATTCTTTGGATTTTCTTTCACTCTTTAGAAAGTGGACAACTGTTTCTGAGCTATTGATGCCCCTTTTGTATCTTTGAGTGATAAGGAAGAAGACTGAGGAAAAAAATCAGTCATGTTTCTAAGGATCACTGAAGATTGTCAGTTAATTTCTAAGCTATTTTCAATATTGTATCATACATCTCCTGGTGCTATATTTTAGGCTACAAATGGGAAGATGATAATATCGAAGAACATTGTCAAAGTCCTCAAAGGCATGGAAGGTAATTTGCATGTGTATGCAGATATAAATTTGCCTGTGAAGATACTTTAATGTATACGGAAGTTGCAAAGAAAAGTGCATTGATTATCATTACATTGTCATGAGATCATATACTTCAGCAGTTGGTAAGTGAATTATATTTGCAAGTCCCCTTAGAGGAAAGAAGACAATATTTGAATGCCTTAACATACATTTGAGTCATAGCTCCATCAGAGGTGTGCTGATGAGAATTGCTAATCCATGTACCTTCAAAACACTCATTTTACAGAAGGTATGCATATTGAAAAGGTGATAAGTCTACTTCCAACAACTTCTTGTTAGCAACTGTTTCACAGTAAAGCTAGTGTTACTCATAGATGTTCTGATTTTGCTAAGTACAGTGAGATTAGATAGTTAGAATCATGATTTGGGGGAATGTTTATGTAAATCCTTATCCCCTATACCTTATATCCATGAGGAATATAAAGACAATCTGTGTGATTGCAGTATGGAATGCTTTTTATTTCTTAGTCTTCCTTTAGTAAGTATATCTTATGTCACTCAGAATACGATCCATATGAGCATAGGGACATGAAGGGGAAAAGTACTTCTCTTCATCTCAGAAAAATCAGAAGATAAATAGTAGTCTGCATGTTGAGCAGATTTGTTGAACATGATGCAAGTTTACAAGTGCTTGGTTTTCCAGCTTCTTTGGGAATACATCAACATCATTATACTGCTGAAAAGACCTATGTGTACAAGCAATGTGTAAATATTTCCAGTTGTCTTTGTTTATTTTGTAAATGTAGTTTGAGTCACAGTAGAGAAAAATTTATGAATGCAAACAGTGGGTTAAGTGTATGAATTCTTTCAGTTCTCTTGAAATATGAGAAAAATCTCATACACAAAAAGCTGCCATAAAAGTGAAACAGAATACAGGTTCTTAGAATGACAGGCATTTGAAATAGTGAAACAATACCTAATGAAGGGTTATACCATGAAAATAGATAAAGTGAAATGAGCTTAATATCTGATTAGTTTTTAAAATTAGAACAAATTGTAGAGTTAATTCATAGTTATAAATATTCACTGTTTTTTTCCATTTTTTAAATCTTGATTTCATTTTACATTCTAACCATAGTTCTACCGCCCAGCCCTCCTCTTGTCCCCTTGCCTCCTCCCACTCCCTCTCTCCCCCTAGTACATCCTCAGTCCACTCCTCCTCAGCGGTTGTGAATGTAGTAAAGCTTTTATATGTGTCAATTATCCTTGCAGGCATGAAAGAACTCCTACCAGAGAGAAATCTTCTACACACATTCAGTGTCATAAATTCTCTGTATATGACAATCAGCTTCCAAGTCATGAAAGAACACTGACTGGAAAGAAACTCCATGAATGTAACCAATGTGGTAAAGCCTTTAATTGGCACAGTGTTCTTCAAATACATAGAAGAACACATACTGGAGAGAAGCCCTATGAATGTACTCATTGTGGTAAAGCCTTCGCTTGGCGCAAGGATCTTCAAGAGCATGAAAGAACACATACGGGAGAAAAGCCCTATGAATGTACTCAGTGTGGTAAAGCCTTTACTCGGAGAAGGCAGCTGCAACTGCATAGAAGAACACATACTGGAGAGAAACCCTATCAATGTAATCAGTGTGGTAAAGCTTTTGCTCAGCACAGTTATCTTGAAATGCATAAAAGATTACATACTGGAATGAAATCCTATGAATGTGATCAGTGTGGTAAACCCTTCGTAAGTCAAAGTAATCTTCAAATACATAAAAGAACACATACTGGAGAGAAGCCCTATGAATGTCATCAGTGTGGTAAAGCCTTCGCTTGGCACAGTACTCTTAAAGTACATAAAAGAACACATACTGGAGAGAAACCCTATGAATGTCATCAGTGTGGTAAAGCCTTTGCTCGGGACAATCATCTTGAAAGACATAGAAGAACACATACTGGAGAGAAACCCTATGAATGTAATCAGTGCGGTAAAGCCTTTGCTCAGGACAGTCATCTTCAAAGACATAGAAGAATACATACTTGGTAGAAACCCTATGAATGTAATCAGTGTGGCAAAGCCTTCACACATCACTGTAATTTTAAAACGCATACAAGAACACATCACTAGTGAGAAACCATATCAACCTATTTGGTGTGGTAAAGCCTTTGCTCAGCACAGTACCTTTCAAATACAGAAAAGAAATCAAACTGGAGAAAAGCCCTATTGATGGCAGAATTCTGTGTTTTCTTAATGAATCACAGAGTCAGCTCTCAGGCTAAATTCTGAAAGATCTGTAAAGCAGTAAAACCAATCTCTTGTTCTTACCTCGACAAAATCCTCAGAACAAATGAACTAGAGACAGTGAAAGAAACACCTCTTCTCTGAAACAAGAGAGAAAGGGTTAAAAAGGGACAGTGAAAGAAACAGATTGTGTGCCCTAAACCAGTGCCAAAGAAACACTCTATCCTTGACCAACTGAGTATTAAACCTAGAAATCCCTAATTCAAAACTAACCAGTCTCTGAGCACAAAAACCAGGCATTGTCTGAACATGTTCCAGCTTAAGGATTGAAATATAGCCAATCCCAACTGGAAATCTCCCTGGAAAAACTGTCCCTAAAAAGCCCTCTATTAGGTCAATGGTTTTTCAGTTGGCAGTTGTTGTCACATCAAGTCCAGTAGACTCTGTGTTACAAGTTCCAAAGCCTGAGGTGGTAACTCCAAAAAAAGGACGTCTCCTGAAACTGGTTGTGAAACTCTCAGCTGGAGAAAAATATTGGGCCGTGGTTCATATGATATTTTCTGTTTTTTCTTCTATTCCCTTTTCATATTAACTGTTCCTATAATCTTGTGCTGACATTTTAAACAAAAGAAATAGATAAGAAACCATACCGTGAGATGCGGTCACTAGCCATGGCATCATCTCTGTAAAAACAAGAGCTTTCCAGATCATTCACCTCATTCACATAAGTACAAACAGTAATAACATTCCCAACAAAAAATTTTCATATAGTTTTTTCATATAAAGTTGATTATTGTTCTTTCAAGGTCTGTGAATTGTGCCGGAATTTTGATAAGGATTGCATTGAATCTCTAGACTGCTTTTGGCAAGATTGCCATTTTTATTATGTTGATCCTACCAATCCAAGAGTATCAGAGATCTTTGCATTTTCTGGTATCCTCTTTGATTTCTTTCTTTAAAGTGTCAAAGTTCTTGATATACAAGTCTTTCACTTCCTTGGTTAACATATCCCCGGATATTTGATGCTGTTTATGGCTATTGTAAAGGGTGATGTTTCTCTGATTTCTTTCTCAGCCACTTCATCTGTATATAATATGGCCCCTGATTTCTTTTGAGTTAACCTTGTATCCTGCCACTTTGCTGAAGGTGTTTATCAGCTCTAGGAGTTCCGTTGTGGAGTTTTTCAGGTCACTTATATAAACTATCATATCATCTGTAAATAGTGAAGTTCGACTTCTTCCTTTCCAATTTGTGTCCCCTTGATATCCCTTTGTTGTCTTATTGGTCTAGCTAGAACTTTCAGTACAGTATTGAAGACAAATGGAGAGAGTGGACAGCCTTGTCTTGTTCTTGATTTAAGATGAATTGTGTTGAGTTTCTCTCCATTTAGTTTGATGTGAGCTGTTGGTTTACTGATATAGACCAATGGAATTGCATTGGAAACCTTGATATTAACCCACACACATACGAAAACTTGATTTTTGACAGACGCTAAAGGTATACAATGAAAAAAAAAGCACCTTCAACAAATGGTGCTGGCATAGCTGGATGGGGACATGTAGAAGACTGCAGATAGATCCATGTCTATTGCCATGCACAAAGCTTATATCTGAATAGATCAAAGTACTAAACATAAATCCAGTCACACTGAACCTCTTAGAAGAGAAAGTGGGCAGTGTTTTTGAATGAAGTGGTACAGGAGACTGCTTCCTGAACATAATACCAGTTGCACAGACTCTGATATGGACAATTAATAAATTGGACCTTGCTGGGCAGCGATGGTGTAAGCCTTTAATCCCAACCCTCAGGAGGCAGAGGCAGGTGGATCTCTGTGAGTAAGAGACCAACCTGGTCTACAAGAACTAGTTGTAGGGCCACTCCAAAGTCACAGAGAAACCCTATCTCAAAAAAAGCCAATAATATAAAATAAATGGTATCTCCTGAAAATTAGAAGATTCTGTCAATCAGAGAACACAGTCAACAAGACAAAATGGCAGCCCACAATATGGGAAAAGATCTTCACCAACCCCACATCTGATGGGGCATATTTCTGAAATACACAACGAACTCAAGAAACTAGTCACCAAAACACTGAATAATCCAATTAAAAAGTGGGGTATGGGCCTAAGTAGAATTCTCAATATAGTCTCAGTAGAGGAATCTAAAATGGATGAAAGGCACTTTAGAAACTGCTCGACATCCTTAGCCATCAGGGAAATGCAAATCAAAACAACTCTGAGATGCCATCTTATACCTGTCAGTATGGCTAAAATATAAAACACCAACCGAGGCTTGAGTGATGTCTCAGCAGTTAAGAGCACTGACTGTTCTTCCAGAGGACCTGAGTTCAATTCCCAGAAACCACATGGTGGCTCACAACCACCTTGAATGAGATCTGGTGTCCTCTGCTGGCATGCAGGCAGAAGACTATATACACACACACACAAAAAAATACACCAACCATAGTTTATGGTGGATAGGATGTGGAGACTCCTCCACTGCTGTTGGGAGGGCAAACTAGTACAGCCAATTTGGAAATCACTAGGTGTTCCTCAGAAATTTGGGGATCAGTCTACCACAACATCTAGCAATTCTACACTTAGGCATATACACAAAGGATGCACATTCATACAACAATGACGTCTGTTCAACTATGTTCATAGCATTATTTGCAGTAGCCAGAACCTGGGAGTCATCTAGACGTCCTTCAACTGAAGAATGGATAAAGAAAATGTGGTATATTTACATAATGGAGTATTACTGAGTGGCAAAAAAAACAATGGAATCTTGAAATTCATAGGCAAATATATGGAACTAGAAGAAACCATGCTTCATGAGATAATGCAGTCGCAAAAAGACAAAACATGGTATGTACTCACTCTTATATGGATATTATACATAGAAAAAAGGATTCCCAGCCTACAAGCCACACCTGCAGAGAAGCTAAGAAACAAGAAGGACCCTAAGAGAGATATACATGGTCTTCCAGAGAAGGGGAAAGGGACGTGATCTCCTGAGCAAATTGGGAGCATTGGGGGTAGAGAAGAGGGAGTTAGGAGAAAGAGGGAGTTAGGAGAGGAGTGGTAGGGGAGGGGGAGACATGAGGGACCAGGAAGATTGGGTCAGGGGAGAGCAAGAAAAGGGATATCTTACTAGAGGTAGCCATTATAGGTTTAAAGCAAAATCTGGCACTAGGCTAATGTCCAGAGACAAACTTGGATGCCCCCAACTAAGAATCTAAGCAATAGTGGACAGGCTATCTTAAATGCCCTTCCCCTGTATTGATTGGTAACCACCTTATATGCCATCATAGAGACTTCATCCAGTAGCTGATGGAAACAAAAATAGAGACCCAAAGCTAAGAGAATCCAGTTGTAGATAGGAATGATGAGCAGTTGGGTCAAGACAATGCTGGGGAAACCCACAGAAACAACTGACCTGAACAAGGGGGAGCTCATGGACCCCAGACTGACATCTTGGAAACCAGTATAGGACAGAACCAAGCCCCCTACATATGGGAGTCAGTTAGGAAGCCTTTGCAACCTATGGTGCCCCTGGTAATGGAACACCATTTATACGTAGTATATGAATGAACATTGTAAGCTTAATCCCCATAGAGGGATATTCTCTCAGCCTAGATACAGAGGAGGGCCTTAGGCCCACCCCAAATGATGTGACCAACTTTGATGATCTCCCATAGAAGGCCTCATCTTTCCATGGAGCAGAAGAGGGTTGGGATGGTGGTTGGTGGGGGACATGGGAGAATGGGAGGGAGAGGGAACTGGGATTGATAGATAAAATAAGACTTTCTAATTTAAGTTTTTAAAAAAAGGAAAAAAGACTTGATAATGGTATAATCTCAGTAGTAGCATTCAGGAATTTTTATTTAAAATATTTATTTCCTTATGCATTCTTTGTTTCTGCATATATGAACACAGATATATGAAAATGATTATTTTCAAACATTAAGCTAGGTTTTCTTTTGTATTCACTAAAGCTGATTAAAGAGTTTTACACAATATAATCCTAACTGTATCTGTTTGGAAACCATCAGATTCACTTTAAATTCTATCAAAATATGCATTTCCTAAGCAACATTTCCTGTCCTTTTAGTTGTAATTTTTATTTTGTTTTGTTTTTTTGAGACAGGGTTTCTCTGTGGCTTTGGAGGCTGTCCTGGAACTAGGTCTTGTAGACCAGGCTGGCCTCGAACTCACAGAGATCCCCCTGCCTCTGCCTCCCATGTGCTGGGATTAAAGGTGTGCGCCACCAACGCCCGGCCCTTTTAGTTTTAATTAATTCAAGAGTCTGGGCATGTTTGTTAAGAGCGGGAACACTTCTTTTGTATCATTTTCTTACAAGCCTGTTATTTGGAAGCAGGCTCTCTCAGAGTTTTTTACAGATCTGCATTTTCAAAGAATAATGTTTGCAATGTGTGAAGATCTTATTCTGTTTGCAGTGCATTTTCAGCAAGCCAATTAATCCTTAAGGTTTTACTTTGTGACTGAGCATCCATTCAGATGAACTGCTACATAGCTGTTTCCTCTAAGATGAGGCATCCTCTCCTGGGGAGAGCAAGGCTCTTCTGCAATAAAGCTTCTGAAAGTTGAAATAGTAACAAGGCATCTCTTCATAGTTCCATAAGTGGTAACATTGCTTGGGAGAGAAGGCTAGGTGGACTAGCTGCCATCAAATGAGGCAAGGAGTTCCAAGGATGCCAGCTTCATGAACCATCATGAATAATATATAGTTGTTTCTGTAAGGGGCACCTGTGAGTCAACAGTTCACTTACATTACTGTAAGTAATGTCAATATAGTCATGAGCTCAATACCTGAGGCTTAGATGGGCTTGATCTTCTACTGTATCATCAGTGCCATAGCTTGGGTAAACAGATACAGGTGTTTATGTCTCCCAATGAACATATGACATAGAATACCATTATGGTATTTTTATACATGTAAGGGTGTATATATATATATGTATGTATATGTGTACTTAAGAGAATCAATTAACATTCATGTTATTCATGAGTGTGTGTTACACATACACACACATGAAATGTATGAATGATATGGAAACAAGGTGCAAGAGACAATATATAAACATAATTTGTAATGCTTGGACAGTTCTGGTTTTTTTTTTTTTTTTTTTTTGGATTTTTCGAGACAGGGTTTCTCTGTGGCTTTGGAGGCTGTCCTGCAACTCTTGTTAGTCCAGGCTAGTCTCGAACTTACAGAGGTCTGCCTGCCTCTGCCTCGCGAGTGCTGGGATTAAAGGCGTGTACCACCAACGTCCTGCAGCTTGGACAGTTTTTATCTGTATACTTGATAATATAATTTAAGCCATGACTCATGTTATCTAAATTAATGACAGTCTGTATAAAATGAATTGATTATCTCTATAACAATGAAATCAGAATGACTGTGAATGTTGTTTTAAAATTTTAAAAATATTTTCTAGACCAGTTCATCAATTATAGAAAAATTGAACTTGTAGAATTGAAAATACTAAAATACTCCTGCTTCTCACAGAATTGTCTCCAAGGTAATGTTTTGGGCTAAAGTTATGCTGGTTTATTTTTCTAATAATGAACTAGTACCAAAGACAACTCTATTATATAAATTGGGGTTTAGACTTAGTGCCTTGCAGGCTGATGCTTGGGCAGTACAGGATTCTTTGTTTACACCAATACTATATGAGAAGGCAGTTTCCCCTTCATTTCTCCCTCTGAACTCTTACAGACCATAACCGCACAGGTGTGATTAGTATCCCCATAGCTTTTTCTTTCCTTCTCTCTAAATGAAAACATCTTTCAAAGTGACAGCTTTAATCATCTTTAGGTTGGTATGTTGGCACTTTTTTTTCTTCAACCAGGCATGATGATTTATGCAT